TACTGTTATAGTTGGAACTGTGTACCCCCAAAAAGATACACTGGAGTCCTAACTTCCAGTATTTCAGAATGTGACCTTATTAGGAGATAGGTTTTTATACAGGTAATCAAGTTAAAGTGAGTTCAGTAGGGTGGGCCCTAGTCCAATATGACTGGTGTCCTTATAAAAAAGAGAGATTTGGGCACAGAGACACACACACAGGGAGAATATCACATGAACATGAGGGCAAGAGAACAGGGTAACGCTTCTACAAGCCAAAGAACATCAAAGATTACAAGCAAACCACAGAAGCCAGGGGAGAAGCATGGAAGGGATTCTCCTTCACAGTCCTCAGAAGGAATCAACCTTCTGAAATACCTTGATCTCAGACCTGTAAGCTTCCAGAACTATGAGACAATACATCTCTGTTATTTTAATCATCAAGTTTGTAGTACTTTGTTACAGGAGCCCTAGCAAACAGGAGCCTAGCAAATTACACACATGTAATTTTTGTGGTAGAGTGTGATGCTCAAAAGTACAGGCTCTGGGGTCAGACAGAACTGTGTCTGAACTCCACCTATGCCACTAAGTGGCTGTATGATCCTGGTGGTATCTTATCTTGTCTAAGCCTGTTATTTTCATCTGTAAAAAGAGATAATGCTCCATTTCATAGGATTATTATAAACATTAGATGATGTATATAAAGCTATTAACATAATGTTTCATACATGGGGAACATGCACATGGTAGCCATTATTACAATATTTACATACAAACATACCCTAGGTATATTCATATATAAATATGCAAATTCACATGGAGAAATACGCCCAATGCCTGCAAGACAAATACACTTTCCTTATTATCATGGACCTTAAAGTCCAGATGGTATTATATTATAAAAGTATATATTTATTTAAAAAATAATTTTGATAGGGCCAGCCCATGGCTCACTTGGGAGAGTGTGGTGCTGATAACACCAAGGCCGCAGGCTCAGATTACTGTATAGGGATGGCCGGTTAGCTCACTTGGGAGAGCGTGGTGCTGACAACACCAAGTCAAGGCTTAAGGTCTCCTTACCAGTCATCTTTAAAAAAAAAAAAATTTAATAATTTTGATAAATTTTATGGGAAAGAAGGAAGGAATTAACAAAGTCAAGGTAATTATAATGGATCAATCTAAATTGAGTGGTAAGAAAAGGCTTTCCTCAGAAAGTGACATTCAAGGATAAAGATAGTTCTAAGCATATACAAAGGTC